TGAGCACTCACAACTGCTACTAGGGTCAAGACAAAATGTGGATGCTCAGCTCTTCTGCAGTCAGGCAGTGGGATCGGGTGGAACGAGCACAGGGCTGCGAGTCAAAACACTTTGTTTTATCCTGTCTCTGCTGCTGAGTCACTGGGTGGTCTTGGTCAAGTCAGTTTGCTTATCTCTCTCAGTTTCACCATTTGTAAAATGGAGCTAATAATAATACTTACCCACCTGCTCCCTGGAGTTTGGTGAGGGTTTATTAATGTCTGTAGAGAACTTTGAACACATAAAACTCTTCAGAAATGGTGAGTATTCTGGAGTATCAGGCCCTGAGGGTCTCAGGTTGCTGCCCAATCACCCCAAATAAGTAGCGAGTTTGGAATTTTGGCTTTAATCATTGTAAGTAAAATTTTCAAAAGCAGCTAAATGATGTAGGAGCCTAAGTGCTATTTTCAGAAGTGACTTAGGCAGCAAGAGGGGGAAGTCTGCATGGTTCTTGGGCTCCTACGTTACTTGAGAAAATAGGATTTAAGTCTCTAAGTCACTTAGGCATTTTTGAAAATGTTATTCTTGGGCTTCTAAGTGCCTAAGTCACTTTTGAAATGGGCATCATAAGAGACTGCTATCTCCTGGGGTGTTATGAAGACAAATTCATTAATGTTTGTGGTGCACTCTGATACTGGGGGTAGGTAAGAATAATAGGACGTATGCATGCAATTAGACTGTATCATAATGTATATGCAGAAGGGAGGGTGGGGGACTGAATTAACATTATATAGGTAACCTTAATTCTGTTTTTTTCTAAATCTTGTGCCTTTGGCTTTGACTAAATGAACTAAATAATGCTGTTTATTTTATTTTTTTTATAAAAGGTAAATATTAGAGCGGGTCAACAACTCAAAATTTTTCCTGTGAAGTATTTCAAATGCAGTATTTCCATTTTTAAACAGATCCATGATATTGGCATGTGGAAATGGAATGAGAACTTTTGTTTAGACTCTAACTAAAATGTTGATTAATTTCAATGTTTGGAAAATGAAACATTCAATTTTCTTTTCCAGTTTTTGGATTTACAGGTTTGCCACTTCCTTCCCCTTTCTATTTTTTCATACAATCAGAATATTATGATTAGAAGAGACCTCATGCAGTCATTAGTCCAATCCCCTGCTAATCTTTTCTTCCACTGTAAAAAGTTAGAAAAAGGTAAAAAAGTGTAAGAAAGTAAGAAAGCCGGGGTGGGGGG